CACCAGCCATCCGTTATGAGATCTGGTGCCCTCCTCTGGTGTGCAGATAGACATGGAAGCAGAATGTTGTATGCATAATAAATAAATATTTAAAACATAAACAAAAACAAAACCCCTGGTCAAAAGTGGGCACTCCAGGCCGGGCGTTGGTGGCGCACGCCTTTAATCCCAGCACTCGGAAGGCAGAGGCAGGAGGATCTCTGTGAGTTCGAGACCAGCCTGGTCTACAGAGCGAGTCCCAGGACAGCCTCCAAAGCCACAGAGAAACCCTGTCTCGAAGAAACAAACAAACAAACAAAAAAAAAAAAACCTCATTGTTTCAGAGCAGCCTGACACGAGACGAGAGAGGGTGAGGTATAGTCGAAGTCCTTTGACAAGAACGGGAGTTAACTTCAGCTGAATAGTGGGTATCTGAACGCCTGTGTGGTCTATATGTACATTTCAGTCTTTATGATCTCCGGGTAGGATGGCTCACCCTGTAATCCATCGCTTGGGAGACGGAGACAGGAAATTTGCCTTGAGTTGACAGCCAGCCTGAACTACATAGTTCCGGGCCACAAAGTGAGACCCTGTGGAGTGAGGCCCTGCCTCAAAAATACCCACATTAACATTTTCTCTTTTGGGGGTGGGGGTTTCGAGACAGGGTTTCTCTGTGTGGCTTTGGAGCCTATCCTGGCACTACCTCTGGAGACCAGGCTGGCCTCGACCCAACAGAGATCCGCCTGCCTCTGCCTCCCGAGTGCTGGGATTAAAGGCCTGCGCCACCAACGCCCGGCTAAACTCTCAATTTTTAAAAGCCTTAATATAATTGTGTCTGTGGAAACGCCTCACCCCTACCCTGCCGTTACAGTTTCCAGCAATTAAGATGTGTCTGCCTTTGGAGACCTAGTTTTAGCTTTCACAGGCTTGCCCAGCGTCAACTGCTTTGTGGTTTGTCTGCACACACTCCCCTCCACCCCGTCTGTCATTTCCCTCTGCCTGCCTCTGTGTATGTACAGAACCATGTCTCCAGCTCTCTGGGGGAGCCTGGAGGCCCATGGCCCCAGCATTCGCTTAGATACAGCCTCTCCAGTGTCCCCCACACCCATGGCAGTGTCCCTAACCCAATCTGTTTCTTGCCTGTGACCCTGCCTCGGGGGTAGTTTGGCTGTCCTCTGGTGAGAGCCCTGGGCCTTCCTTCCCCTGACCCTCCCAGCCCTCCAGCCCCCAGGGCTTGTCCATTCAAGCATCTAACCATCCTCCAACTGCATAGCCCTTACCCTAGCCCCAGCCTCTCTCGCTTCAATAGCTGAAACCCACAGCCAGCAT